ACTGCCCTCAAGGAACTGGGGGAGACAGATACATAAACAGATCATTGCAATATGGGGAGATGTCGTGGCTCAGAAACACCTGTGCAGGAGAGGGAGCAATCACTTCTGTTGGGGTGGGAATGGGGGATTGCTGGAGGAAGAGCAGTTCCTACCAGTTCCAAAAGGAGCCTGGCCTTGCTGGGACCTGCCCTCACTTATATTCACAAAGTCTGTGACCAGGAGCAATTCCCGTAACATCTCTGGATCTCAGTTTTCATATATATATATTTTTTTAGAGGCTTACTCGACAGTAAGGCTTTTTGAGGCTTACTACAGAATGAAAAGACACAGACAGAATCATGGGTTTGGCCTAGTAGGAGGCAATGTTAGCCATTTCTCATTGGAGAGGACGGTGAACAAGGATGCTGGGAATTTCAGAGGAAATGGTCCGTGAAGCTGGTGGGAGAGAAGCGGCTGCCCCTCCTCTTGCTCTGTGGAGGACCGTGGGCGGGCCCCGGGAAAGAAGAGGTTTCATTCAAAATTATAGTCGTCTTGTCTTCTTTTGTCTCTCCTCTTTCTTCCCACCGCAAGTATCAGCTGGGTTTGATGAAGCCCATGGTTGGTTCCAGAGAGAAACTGCTCAGATCGAGTACTTAACACATATGGTTACGAGCCCTGTTAACCAACTTCATTTCCCCCAACTATTGTAGTAGAACTCTCTGGACTCTACGATGGGACCCTGGGGGTACTGTTTCCTGAGCTCAAGCCATTAGAAAATTAAATTGCTTGGCCTTGAGGTGAGTGCAGATGAAGCACCCCTCTCACGAACAGGGCAACCTCCTCGGTGGCAGAAACTTTTTAGGTCTGGCTTCCCTTTCACATGTGAGAAGGTGGCGTCAGAGTGAAGCAGACAGTGTAGTATAGTGGGTAAAAGTCCACACTTGGGAGATAGAATTCAAATCCTGGCTCCACTACTGATGAGCTGTGGGGCAAGTTAACCTCTCTGTGCTGTTTCCTCACTTGTAAGACGGGAGCGGTAATACCTACCCCATAGATTGTATTGAATTAAATGAGTTAATCTGGAAAGCACTTAGTGTAGTGCTTTCAGACGCTTGTACTCACCCTGCTCAGGCTCGTGTTCCTCAAATTACCTAAGCCTCTTTCCCTAAAGCTATGTGTACAAACACTCATGAAACCTATGAGACTTGGGAATCTGACTCTTAGCATGTATTGTCTTTGGAGAGACACTTAGCTTTTCCCACAGCAATGGATTTCAGTCTTTCCCTCCACACTACAGAAAGATATTTACCATGTAAGCACGCACACACACACACACACACACGCACACGTATGTACAAATACAGAAATTACACTTTTATATAGCACTTGTGCCAAACACCTTTCCAAACGCTTTATGTATATTAGCTAATGTAATCCTCACAACAGCCTTATGAGGTGGGCGCTGTCAGGGTCCTCATTTTAAAGATGAAGACCCTGAAGCATAGAAGGACAAGTGACTGAGTCAATACTCTAACACGGTGTGTGTGTGTTATGGGTTTGAAAAGTATCACAAAATAATCCTCTTACCAAGTGCACACTGATATTTTCTATTCTGTTCCATTAAATTTTAAAAGTGCTGACCTTGATTTACTCAGTTGACTGCACAACCTGCTGATGAGTCGAAAATTACATCATGAAAGTCACTGTCCTACAGAGTCTGCTCAGAAAGGGAGGAGGGTAACGAGGGGAAACTTCTGAGGCAAGGAGGACAAAGACACGGCAGCTTCGCGTGGCCTTTTCCTAGAAGTGGTGGAGCTCTTGCTGGGAGCGCTGGGGCTCTGAGACTGGGAAGGGACCTTGTGGCTCCCAGATGGGGGCTCTCAAGAGCATGTGCTCCGACCCTTGCAGGTGGCTGCAGCAGGGCTCAGGATGTCGCTCTTGTTATCTTATCCCTTCCCAGACTCAGATCAGGGAAAGGCATCCCAACCTGGAGCCTTTGCCCTGGAGCCCAGGATGCGGGCCTGATTGCTGAGGGCTTGAGGTACCTGGGCCTCATCATGTTCTATCAACAGTACCCTGTGTTTTACTTTTAGGTTTAACTTTTGAAACACTCTTATATTTATCAAGTTACTTTATGCTCACAAGAGCTAACTTGAGTGTAGGTTCCATTCCATTCCACAGGTGAAGGAAGAGAGTCAGGTTCAGCCTCTCTTTGGGCCTCAGGTTTGTCCAATGGTTCTGCCAGGGCTCAGGGAAGCCTAGAATGCAGGCTTCGGGCTTCCGGTTCCAGTGATTTCAGCTGCAGATTATACGGTCGATGGTGTGATTGAGTGTCAATCATGGAGATGTTTAAGGAAGTGGATACACAGAGGCTGTTTCACCCATCTGGGGTCCATCACCTGGCTCCTCTGTGCTTCAGCCCCAGTTGCCCCCCGTGAAATATAGCAGAGCACCCCCGTTCTTGGGTACCCTAGTGCGGAGGCCAGAGGCACGAGGAATAGGCCACGCTCAGCTTGCGTCTGCCCGTGGTGTCATTCTTATCAGGGTGAGTTTGATGTCTGTACTGACTTCCCCAGTGGGGGATGGCTTAAATCCCAGCCAGCCAGATAAAGGTTAACCCAAAGACTGGGAGGCTAGAGAAGGTGGAAGCCAGGGGAAGCTGTGACCTTTTAGAAGGGACCTCCGTCACTCTGGAGCAGGTCAGCGGAGCCACTGCCCTCTGGAGCAGGAGGAAGGACCAGATCAGCTCAGGAGGCCCTGCCAGCTCTGGGGAGCCCTGCCCCACAGGTCCAGTACTGGCATTAGGGACAAGGGACTGCTGGGGAGGTTGGGACCACTAGGCGGGCCCGCCAGGAACTTTTCTCCCGGGTCCCTATTCTGAGCGCCCTACAGCTGTCTTTCAGGGCAGCTGTCTCCTTGCTTGGGTTTCTGGTGGGGACTGTGTTCTCACACCCACTCCCACATCCTGTGTCAGGAAAGCCAGGCTCTCACCCAGCCAGCGCCTCACCTCCCCTCATCTGTCCCGGTGGTGCTTTTAGTAGTTTAAAAAGTTAGGGAAATGTTTTTCAGAGCTGTGGTTGCTCCTGAAGGAGCCCAGCTTCCTGTTGCTGGGAGTGAGCCTTCAAAGCTCATTTTATCTATCGATCAGTAAGAACACATTCATTGATCAGGAGACACTTGGTGCCTGGTGGGAGTCACAGCCTGGCCCCCAACACTCCCCCAGCTCTAGTTAGTTATGAGGGGTAAACGAGGTCATAAATATGGAGCAGTAGACACAATGGTGAAGACGATACATGTTAGTTCCTATCGTTATTCTTTCCTCCCAGGGTGACCCCTGACCTAGTCAAGGGGCCGGTCTGCCCCCACCTCTTTTCTGTGGCTCTCTTTCTGGGATGCCCGCCCTGGCTCTCTCAGGAGCTGTTGTCTCCATGCGGATGCCTCCCTGACCGTCTCCCGACTCTGCCTTCATACTGCCCTCATCACGGGCTGTCTTTGAGGGGTGGGCCGTTTGGTGGGTTTGGTTTGTCTGTGTCCAGTACTAGACTGGGCGTTCCTTGAGCACAGGGACCCCCTCTCATCTTAGTCTCTAGCACTGTGGGTGCGCAGGATGTCCACGTAATGAATGGCCATATCTGCACGGGGGAGGGGGCTTCCTGTGGGCTGGGGGTGCTTGGCGGAGGCTTTCTGGAAACGGTGGCGTTGGGGCTCAGCCTTAAAGCAGTGTCCACCTGCCTCCCCTGGAAGATTTGGATTCAACAGGCAACCTGGGAATCAGTTTTTTAGAGAAATTCCTCAGGTTCTCAAACAATCAGTTTGGTTGAGATCTGTTACCTTAAAGGTTGGCTTGCTCTGGTGACTGGAGAGGAGTGGGGCATCCTGGTGGGAGGTGGGGCATGGCCGAAAGCAGAGATCCCTAAGGCTTTTGGGGGGAAATATTGGGAAGCTCTGGCTGGATTAGAAATTTTTTACGTGGAGCAGTGGAATAGGATGTTTGAAAGATAAATGGGGATGAACTGTGGTGAGCCTTAGATGCCATGACAAGGTGTTAGGCCTTTATGTAGCAGGCAGGGGAGGGGGCAGCCACTGGAAATTTCTGAGCCAGAGAGTAACATGATGAAAACAGACATTAAACCGTACCCTACAGGGAGGAAATTGGCTGTATTTTTAAAGCACAAAGGCAGAGTCCTTAACGTCCTCTTATCACTCATTCCAAGTGCTTCTTGGTGTCTAACCTAAATCTTTCTTGCTGCAAAGTACAGTTTGTCTCTTAGGAGTTGGAAAAAACCTGGACAGAAAGAAAAGTCCTTCTCCCATTTCTGTCAGAAGAGAACCCACATATCTTGGTGGAACAAGTATGTGCGCCAGGGTTCTGGGCCAAGCCGGCAGAGCCCCGGGGCACGGGAGGGCACTGCGGCCAGCATTAATATAGGTGCCCACCTCCAGGGGTGTGGGTTAGAGTCATCAGAGCCCCCTGGGATTAGAAGCCCTGGATTTGTCTCTTTGGTGCTGTTGTGCCTCCCCACCCCCAGTACCGGCATATGCACTGCCCCTTGGAAAAGCTTGCAGGCATCAAGACAGGCCCCTCTACCCTCCTGCTCCGTTGTGAAGGTAAGAGAGATGAGGCTGATAAAGGTCTCTCAGCCAGGAGAGAAGGGCATAGAAGAAGAACAAGGTATGATTCAGCGATGGGCACAGAAGAAGAGGTTGGGGGGTGTCTCACCCCTGCTTGTCGGGGTGCCCATCGGACACCTGAGAAGAGGCTCTGCTAGGAGGGAGGAAGCTGCGGTGTCTGCCCCCCTCCAGTCTCCAGCTTAAACCAACCCCAGGCTCAGGGGAGCGGGCTCGAGTTTGAGCCTGTCTTGTCCTCCGAGGGTCCTCCTCGGCTGTTGCCCTCGCCCCCTTCCTCCACCTGCCGTCTGCAGCAGTATCTGGTGGAATCCCAGAGATGCCAATCTCTAAAAAAGAAAGCTTTTCCTGAACAGGGACTCCAACCCTTCCCCCTCCCCCCGGGCTTCCAGGGCAAGTGGAACATTCCATTTAAAGGGTGAAACAGGAACAGGTGAGCGTACAGTGCAGAAAAGAGAGAGGACTCAGAGACAGGTGAGAGGGGTGCAGCTGAGCCACTCACGCTGCCCACCTCCACCTCTGCCACCTTCCTACCCAACTGCTGGAGGGCCCCTTGCTTCCTGAGCCCAGACCCCAAAATAGGATATGGCTCTGGGACACCTAAAGAGGCCAGGTAGGCAGACACCCTCTCAGAAGACCCTGTCCTTCGCACCTGGGGACCTGTACTTTCCCACCCACCTGGGGCGGCTGTGTCCCACAGTTCTGGGGGCACCATTCACACTGTGCTCCATGTGAATGGCACCCCCGAGCTGTGCCAAGGCCGGGAAGTCAGTGCCAGCAGATAAGGAGGAGGGCAGAATCAGACACTTTTCTGTTCCAGGCAAACAATAGGGACCTTCCAGGAAGCTCGGGGGAGGGAGTTGCCTGTAAGAGGATCCCCGCTGGATGTTCTGTGGGGTGACTTAAACAGGTTTTTGCATTTGCCACTGATTGCTTAATTAGACACCTACATAGTGCTCTCTGCTAATGACCATGTCTCCCAGGGAGATGATAGATAAAGGGGTGGGTGGCTTCAGAGGCCAGGTGGAGGTCTCGAGGACAACCACCTGAGAATGGGGGCGACGGAGGTAGAACCTCCTGGCATTTCCTTGGGCCAGTATGGACTATAGAGCATCAGAGAGAGTGGGTGCTTTCTCTCCAGGGACTGAGGAGAGATGCAGGGCTCGGGACCTGTTTCTGTCTCCAGTCTTAACATCCTGTGCGGGCTCCAAACTCCTGGCTGTGGTTTGCCCTCTTGAGAAATGGGGAGGGTCATCCCCAGTGTCCAGGTAGTCACTGATGCCAGATGAGCCCAAGGTGCATGTTTCTGGAAGTAGGTACTCTGAGGTGCAGAACAAACCGGTGTTTTTCCAGGCACCTGCACGTTAGGTTGGAAAGAGCCGGGTAGGGAGCTCTGACGATTGCCTGGAGGAGGGCATCACTCAGCGCTGTGAACTCCAAATGGACAATTAGGAACCATTCTGGGATCTGAAGCTGAGCTTTGATAATGGGCTAAGAGCTTAGCCGCAAATATTTCAGAGCTGCTCAGAGGGTGTGCTAGAGGCAAACTGATGCTGGTAATCATCTGCTGATGACTGGGGGACTGGCTGGATGTAAGTGTGATTCTTCTTACCTATCCTCAGCCCTCTCCAGCTCATCTTCCTAGAACTGTGGTTGTTGGGATGTGGGACAAAGAGGCCCCAGCCGTCTCCTGGGTGAGCCAGCCAAATATTTACCAAAAGCAGGGCTGCAGAGGAAAGGTGCCAGGAGCCAGGTAAATGTTGTGTTTGTACTGCCCAAACAATGCCATGCTTCATGGGCTCCCGAACGCCACAGCTCCCTGAGCCAGGCCCCTGTGAAGACTGGCTGTAGGGAACCACGGGACTGTGCACCATGTGTGAGATAGAGAGATGCCATTCCCATTCTGCTCCTGGGTATCTCTGGGATGCTGGCATCCTGGCATTGGATTGTCTTTGGTCTCCTTTCCTCCGTCCCAGGAAGGCCCGAGTGTCTCAGGAGGATGGAATCCGTTGAGGGACTGCAGGATGGCTGTATGTTTCTGTTGGTCATGATGGAAGTAATCATTTCTGCCCATTTCAAAGACAGGGTGGGGTTAGCAGAGATGGTCTAGTGTCATGGAAACTTTGGACTGTAGGGAAGACTGAATTTTGAAGCTGGGCAGACCTAGCTTTGAATTTTGGCCTTACTGCTTACTAGCTTGCGCCTTGGGGCCAGTTAACTAACTCCTCTAATCACAGTTTGCTGTGGCCTAAAATGGGATTTCAGGACCCACATTGCCATGGGTGATTGTGATCATTGCTCCCATAATGAAATAAAGCAATCTATTCTACAGCATAACCCTGAAGGCTTTCCTGTTGGGAAGCAGGGATTATATTCAATTTCATTCCATAAACATTTTTTAAATTTATTTTATTTTATGTATTTATTTTTGGCTGCGTTGGGCCTTCGTTGCTAGGCGCGGGCTTTCTCTAGTTGCGGCGAGCGGGGGCTACTCTTTGTTGCGGTGCGCGAGCTTCTCATTGCGGTGGCTTCTCTTGTGCAGTGCAGGCTCTAGGTGTGCAGGCTTCAGCAGTTGTGGCTCACAGGCTCTAGAGCGCAGGCTCAGTAGTTGTGGCGCACGGGCTTAGTTGCTCTGCGGCATGTGGGATTTTCCCGGACCAGGGCTCGAACCCGTGTCCCCTGCATTGGCAGGTGGATTCTTAACCACTGCGCCACCAGGGAAGCCCCATAAACATTTTTTTTTTGTGGTACGCGGACCTCTCACTGCTGTGGCCGCTCCCGTGGCGGAGCACAGGCTCCGGACGCGCAGGCTCAGCGGCCATGGCTCACAGGCCCAGCCACTCCGCGGCACGTGGGATCTTCCCGGACCAGGGCACGAACCCGTGTCCCCTGCATCGGCAGGCGGACTCTCAACCACTGCGCCACCAGGGAAGCCTCCATAAACATTTTTTTTAAATTTTTTAGCATCTTTATTGGAGTATAATTGCTTTACAATGGTGTGTTAGTTTCTGCTTTACAACAAAATGAATCAGTTATATATATACATATGTTCCCATATCTCTTCCCTCTTGCGTCTCCTTCCCTCCCACCCTCCCTATCCCACCCCTCCAGGCGGTCACAAAGCACCGAGCTGATCTCCCTGTGGGCTGCTTCCCACTAGCTATCTACCTTACAATTGGTAGTGTATATATGTCCATGCCTCTCTCTCGCTTTGTCACAGCTTACCCTTCCCCCTCCCCATAGCCTCAAGTCCATTCTCTAGTAGGTCTGTGTCTTTATTCCTGTCTTACCCCTAGGTTCTTCATGACATTGTTTTTTCTTAAATTCCATTTATATGTGTTAGCATACGGTATTTGTCTCTCTCTTTCTGACTTACTTCAGTCTGTATGACAGACTCTAGGTCTATCCACCTCATTACAAATAGCTCAATTTCGTTTCTTTTTATGGCTGAGTAATATTCCATTGTATATATGTGTCACATCTTCTTTATCCATACATCCGATGATGGACACTTAGGTTGTTTCCATCTCCAGGGTATTGTAAATAGAGCTGCAATGAACATTTTGGTACATGACTCTTTTTGAATTTTGATTTTCTCAGGGTATATGCCCAGTAGTGGGATTGCCCCCATAAACATTTTTGAGCAAATGGTATTTCCAGTTCCAAAGAGTCAATGATTTTATGTCTTTAAAAACCCTTTGAACATCTTGGAAGGAAGAAATATTCGAAAACTCTATTATACTTGGCAATTATCATTAGTTTTTGTAACCCACTCAGGAAGTCTCTAACTGTTTAGTTCAGAACTGGAAACAACGGGTGGAGGCAGAAAGTGTGATGATGGCGTCCTCCAATAGTGGGATAGGCCGCCTTCAAGGCAGTGAGCGTCTTGCCCTTGCGGGAGTTCACGTGGCACCTTCATCTTTCCAAGTGCTGGAGAGAGCTTTTCCTGCATTGGGTGGAAGGGAAGACTGCTTTGTGCTGAGATTGCTTCTCCTAAATGTGGGAGGTTCTGATTCTGGGATCACCAGAATTCCCCAGTTGAGGACAGGGGGTTTCCCTACACTACAAGGCGAATGCATGAGAGATCAGAATTAGGGGGAATTTCCCCTGGAGCTTCCTGACTGCCTTCTCCAAAGCACAGCCCCTCTCATTTGGATCAAGCCTTGACTCTAACATCTTTCCTCTCCCTATATGTTCTTTACTACCATCAAAGGCTTGCGTGCACTCTTGCCTTGCCACATGTCCCAGAACCAGCTTCTATTCTGGGTGGGTCTTTTCCCTGTATTCCAAACCATCTCTAGCAGGACGGGAGATTAACAATCAAGCAACCATTTATGGCATTCCTACTAGGTGCAAGGCACTGGTGTAGGAGCTAAGGGGGAAGGCAAGGAATTGTCCCAGTCCTTAAAAAGCTTCAGTGTCTCTTTTGGAAATAAGCTTTACACAAGTAAAAAGTCAGTTAAGGGTACAAGGCTGTATGAAACAACAGCTGAGTGGTAAAGACAATAGTAGGGGTGTGTGTGAGAGAAGTAGATAGCTAGTTCTGGGCTGAGGCACTTGGTGAACTGGGCCAATGGATTTTGGACACTGATTACTGTTGGAGTGAGAGACAGTGGTGGGAGAGAGTCAAAGCTGATCTTGTAGCTATAAGCCTTGTTGCCTGGGACAGTTAATGTTGACGTTGACAGAAGTAAGAGAACTTAGATGGGGAGCCCATTAATAATTGACTGTTTTTTTAACATGCATAGGTTACAGTATTCAAATGGTACAGAATAGTATTCAGTGAAAAGTTTCCCGCCTGCCCCCTCTCAGATTTAGCCTCAGCGCCCTCCTTGAAGGTGATCGCTGTTACCATTGTCTGGTATGTCCTTCCTGAGATGCTCTAAGGCAGTCTAGGCTATGACCCACGAGCCAAATCTGGCCCCCCACCTAATTTTGTATGAGCCAGCAATTGTGTTTATGTTTAAAGGGCTAAAAAAGTAATAAGAATAATAAGTGGTTTGTGACGCATTAAAGTTGTATGGAATTTAAGTGTGTCCACAAGTACAGTTTTCTTGTAGTACAGCTATGATCATTTGTTTATGCTCATTTCTTTGCATATTCTCTGTGGCTGCTTTTGTGCTACAAAGGCGGAATTGAGTAGCTGCAACAGAGACTATAAGGCCCACGAAGCAGAAAATATTGATATTTACCATCTAACCCTTTACATAAAAATTTGCTGACCTCTGCTCTAGGCAAATATAGATAGTTACAAATCATTTCTTAACCCAAATGGTAGCATATGAAGTGAATTGCTCTGCCCCTCGCTATCTGCATTTACTATATCTTGGAGACTGCGCCATATCAATACTATAACAGAGCTAGTCAGTGGGTGGTGAAGCTTAATTTGATTTTAGATGTGAGTTTAAGGCCAAGAACAGTAACCCTTGGGGAAATGCTCAGTGTGTGGTTGGGCTCGGGGGACTGAAACTTGGAGCCTGGAGGCGGAGATGTGAGGGACATCTGCAAGGAGGGCTTCGATGCGAATCTATGACCTTGGCCTGTAGATCAAAGATTTTCCTTTATAGAAATGAAGCATTGCATTCTGAGCACTGTTCAAAGTAAGCTCTGAATGCTAATAGGTTGACATAAAGACAATGAACTGGAAACATTAAACCAACACCTGGAGGAACAGTAAGTACTAAAGGCAATTTAGAGTTACCTTCTTGAGTCAGAAGCCAGCCAACAAAGGCTAGTGTGCAGTCGTGGACAGAGGGGTGCACAGTGGATCTTTACTGAATGCCTGTTATGTGCCTACTGCTTTATGCCTGTTACCTATGTATTGATAATTGTCACTCTCTCATGTAGAATCATTTGCCTCATTTTACAAATGAGGAAATTGAGGCTCAGAGAGGTTAAGTGATTTTTCTCACAATCAGTGGTTCAAGTGAGAACCTAGTTGTGTTAAAGCATATTCCATCTGACTTTTAAAGCCTTCTCTTTCCATTCTACTACCCAAGATGCCAAATCTGGCTGGGAGTCACGGCCTAGCTTTGACAAGCCGTTTCATCTTCCTGGCCTCAGCTCCCTCATCTGCAAAATGAGCCAGTTGTCATCAGATTTCCCTTCCCACTCTCACCTGGCCTGATTCTGTTACAGGTGAAACATAAAGGAAGGGGTGGCGCTACAAGAGCCAGATGCAGAAACTTGGAAGAGGAGAGGAAGGTGTGGTTAGCAATGAGTATATACCAGACCAGTTATCTGGAAACTAATCCTTAGGAGAATATTATTCCTTGATATGGAGGAAGACTCTAGAAATCTTTGCTCCTAGACCGAACTTACCCATCACCCTCAATGCCATGACCCTGAGCGTCACTTAAGCACCTGGACTAGAACAGCTGCAGGGGGTTGGGGCTGGGAGAGACTGTGGACAGCACCTGACAGGTCTCTCTCTGGGCCTGCATGCCTCCACTCTGCTCTCCTCTCAGGCTTTCTGGAGGAGCTGCAGCTAGAGGGCTGTCTGATGTTACCAAGTTGCAGCCTGGGTGGGGAGGGAGGGGAGTGCGAGGGCGGGTAAGCCATCAGACCCAAGGAGCCGGGGGTGTGAGTGTATTTATATAGGACTCAGCCAACCTGCAGTTTCAGATTTCAGACTCCGCTTTATCAGGAGAATTTCCCCTGGTTTTCAGTCAATGCTAGAGCAGGGAGCGAGCTGACACCAGAGCCTTCCTGCAAGGCTGGGGGAATGTTGGATTCCCGGGCCCTCTCCTCGTCTCCTTCCTTCTCACGGGAGCTGCAGCAGCCACTCTTGGCAATTTTCTTGGGTCGGGAGTATTGTTAGGATTCCTTCCCAATCATCAGTCTGCGTCTTCCAGTTGGGATCTGACTTCCAGCATGGAAGGTAATATCTGGGGTCCTGGGCTAGGAAGAACTGGGGTTACCCAGACTTCAGTGGGGAGGACCTGGGGGAAGGATGCACATGCTGGGCAAAGAGGAATAATTCACAATAAGAGGGATGAGAGAGAGAGAGGGAGAAAGAAAGGGAGGGAGGGAGGGAGGGAGGTGTGTCTGTGGGGGGGGGGGGGTGTGTGTGTGTGTGTGTGTGTGTGTGTGTGTGTTGGGAGCATTTGCTATTGTATTTGGAAAGCAAATCTTCTTTTAACACTTTCTCTTTATTTATCCCCTCTTTATCTCCTCACAAATAAGAATGTCCCAAGAACGTCCATCTTCCTTGAGGGTCTCCAATCATAAAATTAGAGAAAATTTCTGACTTCTAGAATGTGAATATTTCCTCACTTGGGGGTAGGGGGCTGCAGAGGGAACCTAGTGACATGGAGGTATGTGTCCAGAAGACTAATGTCCCTAGAACCAGCCCTGGTTTTTGCAGGCATTTGGAAACACTCCTGGTAAAGCTAACTGTAAGTCTGCGGCGTGGTGGGAAGGTGTAACCAGTATAGATTCCAGCATGGTCTCCGTGTGGAATTAGCTTGAACCAGCTGAACGAGATCAAAGCTACGAGAGACAAGTGCCAGGAGCACTTTCGTCTCAGAGGCTCGGAATTGGGCAGGATAGAGGCCAATGCCTGGGGTGGGCGCGGGGTGGGGGCTTGGCGCCCTTCCTGAAAGCACAAATTTGGATGGGGTGGTGATTGGTGAGTCAGGCTGGCTGAATATGGTTCTGTCTTCCCAGGGCTTGTGTGGTGTTTCTCAGTGGCAGGAGCAGAGTTCAGAGACCTACCTCGTACAAGGGCCGGTGGGCGGGCAGCCTGGCCTCGCTGCCAAGACCTGTCTGTGCAGTCGTGCCCAGTGGGCAGCACATGCGGTGAGGCAGGACCCGGCAGGAATGGCGGATGGGCCAGGCTGAATGTGACTTGGCAAGGGCCTGGAGGCGGCTTTTGAGAAGCAGATTTGGGGCAGTGCGGTAAGCATTGGAAGAGGGGTGTGGTGGAGTCTGCTGGAGGCAGAACACGGAATGGATGGAACAGACCCAGGAGAGGGGACCAGGGAGTGTTAGGTTCTGATACAGTCCCAGGCTGCAGCCAGCAGGGACCTCAGCTGTCAACATAGGTGCAACCTGAAGTAGGTGAGAGAACCAGGGCTTGCCTACCGACTTCTGAATATAATGAGAGAGAGGGATGAGAGGTGATGTGGCCTGGGCAAGCACAGTAGAAACACATTTTCAGCCTGAGAAATTATAGAATGCAGTAGAGTCTGGGAGGCAATCACACAGTTATTTATTAGGCAATATAATTAGTAGGTTGTATAGTCTGGTCACTTTTGAAACTATGGGCATTTAAAAAAATTATTTTTTATTTGCATCACCTGCTACTTCCAAATAGAATTCCAGTGTCTTCGTATACTTGGTAGATGGTGCAATGCATCAGTTTGGCCAACGGATAATAATAACCTTTCACTTTATTCAGTTGTGTAGGGTTTTCCAGCTTGGAGTGTGTTTTCAGAGACACTCTCTTATTCTGCAGATTCAATATATTGAAACATCGGCTCAATTCAGCAGATGTTTACCAAGCCCTATTCTCTCCTAGGTACTGTGTTAGAGATTGGGTATACAGACACAGATGAGACCTGTTTCTGCCCTCAAGGATCTCACAGTCTAACTGCAATCCTGTCGGGAAGATAGAATATCATTCCCACAATATAGATGAGGAAACTGGAGCCAAAAGGTGCTAAAGGACTCATGGTTGGTCGGCAGAAGGACAGGGATTGGGATCAAGATACAACTCCTAATCTAGTGCTCTTTTGTGTCTCCCCTATACCACAGTACTGTCTCGACCTCCCTCCGCCTCTTCACCCCCCACACTGTCTCCATCAGAGTGTTGAGCAAGAAGCAATCATCTGTGGAAGGCAGCCTGGAAAAACTGCTCCCTGGAATGGAGTCAGTCCTCTCTGGGCTCCTACTTGTGCAACTGAAACGGCATCAGTGGGTCTGCATCTATGTTAGTTGCTGATCTGATGCCCTCTACCAATCAGCAGTGGCCGCCTTTATCTCTTAGATAATTCTTGACTTGGGGAAGATTGTCTTCCTCCTTCTTCTCCCTGGATTATCTGAACAGATAAGGGGACTGTAAAATCCAGGGACCCATGGAAACCTGGGAGGCTCCACATGGTGGTGGATGCTCACTGAACTCTAGATTTATAAACTAATGAGCATTGCTTAGTTCTTTGTAGTGGACAGAGTGTGTTCACATGAGCAGAGAACAGTATGCTTGTCAATTCCCCCTCCCTTCCACATTTACCAGCTCAGGATTCCTGGAAAGGTCTGAATCACCAAAGCTTGGGATTGTTCTCTTCACTTTTAGGCTTAAGCTAAAAGGGACATAGAGAGGTCATCTGTCCCAGTGATTATCAAATTTTGGTCTGTGACAGAGTTTTCACCAGTCCAAAATGAAATGAGAAAAAAGGGGAAGCATACTGAATTTTTTTCGGGAAGCATAATGTATTCAGTTTAAAGGGTTACTTTCGGAGGCAGGAGATGTACTCAAATATTTATTCTGAGGTTATGGCTTGCTTATTCTTTTCATGAGCTGATGATGAGAGTGGATGGTAGCTAGGCTTTTTAAATGTCCTTATTTGGCAAAATAAAGAGTTGGCAACTTTACAGTGGTTCCTTACATTTCGTTTTTTGAAATTTAACTGGTCTATGAAATCAAAAAATCTTGCCTCCAGGCAGGATCTTCTTCAAACAGATGAGACTCTATCTCCCTGATAAGGGCTCTTTGGGGCAGATTTCTGAAAACCTGGATTCTGATCTTGTCACCACTGTTCTTTCCCTGTGGGTCCTTGGGCCATGACAAACTCACACGGAGTCTCAGTTTCCTCATTTTTACACTGTGGGAGGTTTCTGCCTCCAGGATAAGGTCACTGGCAGAGGAATGTGTTCTCACTTCCTTGTCCTCTTTGTCAGGAAGTCTGAGACTCTCCCTTCTCTGAGGGGCTCTGGGATCAGGCCTTGCTGGTTCCTATTCCTATAGTCATTTTTGGGAAATGATGGAGGTCATCTCTTATGCTTGGAAAAGACAGAGAGGACTTGTAGTTTGAAATATGGGAGCAGCAAGAGGTATATTTTACATTTGAGGTCTTGGCGTCCAGTGTTAATCATTTGGAAACACAGGTATTAAAAAGCTCTTGCCAGCAGTTTTTGAAATGGTGGACCTTCTTGAGCTCTCAAGAATATCAGCTGGAGCTTTTCTAAATCTGGAGGCTCCTGGAGGCCTTAGAGTGTCTGGGTCTTCTACCTTCTGGAGAGTCAGGCCTGGAATAGCAACAAATATGTGGGAATCCCCAGGCAGCCCCAGCTGCCAGACTGAGACATGTGGTTGGGTGTGCACATGTGTGCAGACTTGTAGGAGAGAAAGCGTTTAGAGGAAAGTCAGTTTGAAATCACCCTGGAAATTGAACTAGATGCTCTTTTTGAGATTTGTTCTAGGACCCTTTTTTCCTGAAAGTCTAGAAGCCTCTTAGTAGGAGAGAATTTTCTGATTTTCCACCCCAATTTTATGTTCTGAAACAAGAGCCCTCCTAGCCTGGGAAAGCAGTGGAGATCCTACTTGGGCTGTTGAGTTTGTGGGAGTGAGTAGCAGACTCTTACCTCAAGCTTTCCTGGGACAGAGGGAGAAGTAGGACAAACTACTAAAGGCAAGAGGGGAGCCTTAGCCTCTGAGCTGGAAGACCAAGCCTAGGTGCATTAAATTCTCCTCTCCCAAAGGTTTCTGGATGGTGATGGGGCAGTAGAGCAGCACAACCCCTAAGAACAGTGCTACAGAAAAGCCTAAACCCGTGGATGACGGCAGACACCACAGACTTATTCAAACCAGTGGAGGGGGAAAGAAAAAGTGAAAAAGAATCCAAGAAGTGCAGATGAAAGATCTCCACCACCCGAGGTGCTCCTGCACAGGAGGCCCCTCCACAGACCCTCTGATGGCTCCACCTAGGTTTGGGACAAGTGAATCGTGTGTCAAGGCAGTGATTCTCTTAGCTCATCTCTGGTCACCAGCGACAGTGGCTTTCCCCAAGGGGGCTTTCATAAGGATTTTGTCCTAACTTTGGGTAGATTGGGACACAGAGTCAAGGCGTACAGTGAAATTCTTAGAAATTAGGATCTCTTCTGAGATGTTCAAGACGAAAGGGCAGAGGGTGAGAACCATTCAGCATACCTTTTTCTGACTGTAAAGGTCAACGAGAGCATGACTGGGACCTCAAAGATGTTCCCATCCTTGTCACGGTGAGGCAATGGAAAGCAATATCCGGACTCCAGGGCCACCTTTGTCTTCAATCGGCTGCATGATCTTGGGCAATTCAGTCCCTCTCTGGGCCTCAGATTTCCCATCTGTGAAGCGAGGGGGTTGAATTTGATTGCCACCATCCTCTTCAACTCTACATGCCTCAACTCTCCATTTGACCGATAGGTAGACCTTATCACTCCAAGAGGAGAGTCTCCTGCCTTTCTCAGAGCTGCAGGTCTGCTGTCCAGCAATTGCATGTCTGTTGGAAAAGTGGCTTGAGGTAGCAGGATGAGATGGGTATTTTCAAGACAGCAGATCCAGGGTCAGAACTGAGATGCCCACTTGGACGACAGTGCATTGGGACAGGTCAAGTCCTTCACAGTCATCAGTAAGTCCTGTAATGGACGGCTAGAGCCAAGGGAGCTGAGAATGACAGTTGCCCAATATTGCTCACAGCTATGGGCCAGGGCTGCTTTCCTATTTTCAAAGCCTCCTGGGGCCGTGAAACAGCATCAGGAGAAACATGCCAAACCTGTTCCACTGTGTGTCAGATATTTGTTTCTCATCCAGAGTGTCCATCTTCATCATCTCCCTCACACTCAGCATCTTTTCCTTCCTTTAGCCCAATTCCCCACACACTTTGGCCCCCTCTACCCCTTAGCATTCCCCGAGGCGCTGTCATTTCTTCCCCTGGGAATGCCTCTAGGGAGTAGGTAGCAGAGATGAAGCTGTGGGACGGTGGTAGAGTGGAGAGAGCGCTGGAAGCCCAGTGAGGTGGTGAGTTGGAGGCATGTTTGGAATATTCAGGCATGTCTATACCTGAAGTCCAATCAAATAACAACAACACACTGCCTCTGCTAGCTCTGTTCGGGTGGAAAAGCAGCCGATTTGTACAGGCTGTTGGGCTGGTCTTTGGATCCTCTCCCCTACCCCATGCCAACTTGTGTTTCAGGTTGCTGGCTCCAGGCTGCAGGAACCCAGGGACCTAGGAGAGATTCAGATTGTGATGAGGCAAATGCTTTAAATGTTTGTCAACATCTTTAGTTTAAGTAACTCTAGTAGCTTCCTGAAACCCCTGACTTCAGGGGCTGGAGGAAGACCTCAGGCAGCTCTACAACTCAACTGGAAAGCCTGGGGCCTGTGGATTTCAGAATGGTAACATGTCACACACACTGTGTGTTACATAAAAACCTCCAGCAGGGTCTGGAGCAGCTCCAAAATCACACATACTAATATTTCTGCAGCAAGATATATCTAAAAAGTCATACAAGTAGGATAAATAAAGGCTAAAAAGAGTCTCATGCCCGTTCAGGTCATGCTTTGCTACTAACTAGGTTCAGGTCAGGTTGGGTTCTGTTGAGTTAGGAAAAAACTTTTGATTTTCAGATATTTGTGGATTTGGGACTGCTATTAAGGCATCGCAGCTCTATATTGCCTCACATAATCCTACCAGGTGGAATTAGCATTCCCATTTTACAGGTGGGGAAGCTAGGGCTCAGAGAGCATCAGTAACTTGTCTAATGCCATTCGGTTGGTAAGTGGATTCCAGTCACAGAGATGAGCTGTGATTCCAATCCAGGTCTGTTCATCTCCGGAGCCAGGCTTTTTCCTCCGAGGTATGATGCACTTTACCTTTAGGAGTGACTGAAGGAGAGTTGAGGGTGGGGGTGGGGAGCTCTGACTCTGGCATCTTCCCTGATTAGGAAGGCACTTCCTGCACATCTGATAGGGATCATTTACTGGCTTGTTCTTGTTCATACCTTGACTTCTGGGATCCCAGTAAGCTTAAAGTCTCAGAAGAGAGGAAGCTAAAGTTCAGTCAACTTTGTGGCTTACAAGAAGAATCCAGCTGGCTCCGTGGGGGCTGTGAGAGCCAAGAACAAACGGGGTCAAGTTGGATTTAGTGAGAGAAGCATCACCTGCAGTGGAAACAACCCCGTGCAGAACCGATGGAACGCACAGGGCTCCCTGCTTCCCCACCCACCACCTGCTGTAGAAGGCTCGCCTTGAGTAGGGACCCATCTTGAGAGAAGGACTGTCTGGGAGGGTCACAAACTCCAGATGAGGGTGAGGGTGGTGTGCAGCTCGAAATAAGGAGAATTCAGCCGGGGTGGGGGGGTGTCTCACTGGTCTTCATTAGTGATGTAAAAAAAGGTCAAAGGAAGAGCTAATTCAGTTTGTTGAAGATACACCACATGCTTTTTAACACTTTATTGGAAAGACAGACGTTGGTCTGTTGTCTGGGCAGTGACATAGGTAAACCCCTCCCCCTACCTTCTAAGTGCTGTCAGATGGTGGCTGCCATTTCTGGGTCATCTGTAGGTCAGCTAAGATTTGAACTCTTACTATGCAGGCACACAGGAGTCCACAGTGTCCTGTGCTGTCCTGCTGTCAGTGAACTCAAAGCAGCACTTGGGCCAGCCGCTCTGGTTGGGGAGTGGTCTGGGCTGTGTGTGTCCTTCTACCCATTAGGAAGGGTGGTAGGTTCGTTGCCATAGGAACAAGGAACATCTGCTCCAGACAACTAGAGACAGAGTGGGGGAAGATTTTCTTAAAGGGACCATTAGCTCATGGAGTTGCTGCCTGGAAAGTAGGTTTTTCTAAAGAAGACCTGAGGGGCAGATCAGAACCCTTGGTCTGAGAGAACTGCGAGCCTCTAAGGTGGCAAAGGACCCTCATTTGCTTTGGGAAGTGCAGGAGAGAGGATACAAGATTTTCTTCTCCCCCAAATAACGGACGTCCTCCAGGAACGTGTCTCAAAGCTGTGTTAGCCTGCGTGCTCTGAGCGCCCTGGCCCATCCATCAGCAGGGCTGGTCTGCCACCTTCGTTAGGGATCTTAGTTCACCCATATGGCCCCCACTTCTGTTGCCCACTCCCCCTAGACATCCTGGGAGCATTTCTAAACCGGGTAGTAGCAAACTTATCTGCTTTCTCTGACTCTTACCTCCACCCTGTCCTCTCAGACAGCCTGACTTCTAGGCCAGTCAAGGTCTTCCAGCACCGTTTTCTGCTGCCCTTGCGCCAACTCCCTGGTCCTTTTCCTTCCTCTTCCTTTCACCTTCCTTTTCTTCCTCATGGCAGCCACATCTGCAGAGTTGAGACGTTGGGTCCTCCAGAAGTCATCTTGTTCTTCTTCCTGTTATTAGTTAGGACTTTTGAGTACGTTACTGGCACTGCTCAAAGCACCTTAAGCTCCAAAGGGGATTTTATTGTAAGGGCCAGAGAAATGGCTGGACCACAGGAACAAACTAGACCAAGAAGCTAAATGCCGCAAGTATGGTCTTGCCCTTTGCTCCTCTCCGTGTGCTGGCTTCAGTTTCTTCTCCCTGCAGAGCCGTTCCGGCTCCGTGGTCAGCCTACAGGGTGGAAAAGATGGCCTCCAGCAGCTCCCTCGTGTACCTGTTACCTGGAGAAAGAATGATCTCTTTTTTTCCTCTCAATCCCAATTCCCATCCCTGGAAAGGTGTTTCGGCTGAGCTGGGGTCAGGTGGCTACCTATAACCAAGAGAGTAGTGTCAGGTTTTAGCAGCATGGCTGTTACCACCGTAACTACATGGGTATCAAGGTGGAGAGGCAGTTTCTAGAAAGGGATGGGTACTTTCTATCACCATTAGCCTTTCCTGGACCTCCAAGCCTAGAGGAGCTTGGTTTGGAGAGTTTACACACCCCTGGCCTCTTTTGTTCAGCTCTTTTCCCGTCTGGCTATGGGGGCCGGCAAGGCCTAGTAGGTAGCACGGCAGTGTGACTGAAGGAGCCAGGGCATGGCTGCGGAGTCCTTGCCGCTCCCCGTGGGTGGAAAAGGCGTGGAACCCGAATCTTGAAGGCCATTCAGGCCCCCAGCCTACCCAGAGTTAACACTCTAGCCTTTTAGTAAAGTCCTTCAGGAAAGATTTTATCGTTCCATCAGACACTAGGGAGTCAAGATCTAAAAGCCTCAGGCCTAAAAGCTCGTCACTGTTTCTAAATTCAGTCTTTCATAATGTTATTGAGGCCACTGTCCCCCATTCCATCTTGGACTTGTGAGGAGGACCAATGCCCGCCATCTTGTTTAGGTTAGGATCGAATCAGTGACTGTGAAATCATCCCCTTGCATGAGGAGACAGGGATTTGGGCCAGGGTATATAGGATTTGGAACCATTTCTGGCTGGCTGCTGCCCTTCATCCCGATGAACTCCAGAGAAGAGAAACACATTGAGGGGTCAAGTTGTCTAAGCCTTTCATGGAGCTGTCCCTCCTTCATGCCTTCCTCTGCCCAAACTCTCACCTCCATCCACTGTAATGCAGACATGGCCAGAAGGGCAGGCCCCACTTGGCTCTGCTCCGGGAGGGGTGGGAGGGCAGTGGAGAACTGAGCCCTTCCCTCTGCTCTTGCCTGACTCCCCTGGAGCCTGTGAGGTGGGAGTGTCTCTGGGCGGAGGAAAGGGAGGGCCTGCAGGGACCCAGGAGCTGAGCTATTTCTGGAACACAGAACACATCTGCAGCAGCCGCAGAGAAGGTCAAACTGTGGGCGCAGGGCTGGAATGCAGGGGCCAGGCGGCCGGGGGGGCTGCGGTTTTACCCCTCTTGGCAGCTTGGCGGGGCCCTGTGGGGAAGGTGGAGCTACCCATAGCAAAGTATGCAGGGTGGGGAGAGATGTGGCCCCAGTGGCGACGCTGATGGTGCAATGCACTGGAAGGGGGTTTGGGGAGTGGCACAAAATCCCAATACCCATTGCACTGAGGTGGGGAGAAATTTAATTCCAGGGTATGGGGGCTCTATTTCGTGCTCTCTGCCATGAAAAAAAAAATCAGGTCAGGCAAAGCGCTGTGAGATGGGAAAGAGAAACAGTGCCAAGGCAGGGGCTGGGAGGCTCAGACAAACACAGGTGTGTGAGCTGTGCCTGTGTTCAGAGGTACGGACGGACAGACGTGGGGGCGAGTTTACTGGGAAGCGATGCAGCTTAGCTTCAGCCTCGCGCTCGCGCCAGCCCGTTCCAAGGCTCCCTCTAACTTGTACTTGTAGTCTTTTTCTTCATAAGAACTGCCCAAATTGTGTAAGCTTCAGGCCCCACAGACCTGGCTCTGCCCCTGCATCCTCGCGCACCCACATTCACTCACCCTCCTTCCTTCCCTTTCTGCCACTTCACAAGTCCTCTCCTCTACATACAATACCCGGTGTCCTCCGCGCTTTACCCTCATCCTCGCACATGCCTGTGTGTGGCCTGGGGCTTCTTGAGTTTCTGTTTATAGTTCGAAAATTGCCCTGCTCCGGCTCTGCCTTTGTCACAGAAGGACCATCTTGGCTAAATCTGACCGCTGCTTGACCTCTGGGCACCTTGCCCTTGGTCTGCCCCTCTTCAGCTCCCCAGATGCATAAGCTGTTGGTTTGTTTTCCTTCTCATGCTGTGG